ATAGAACTTCAGGGCTTTGGCACTCTTTCATTTTAATTTATGTTTTGAAGTTTCAGATGTCAATTAGATTCATGGAAGATGTTTGTGTTTCCATTTCTCATTCTTCATTATGATTTTGAGGATTTCCAAGAGAATGTCAAGTGCACCAATAGCACAGTGCTACTTTAATACCAGAAATCAGTCTTCCCTCTTTAATACAAAAGCTATTTATTTAATAAAAGTTTCCAGTGAAAAATAATAACTGCCAAAAAAGAAGAAAATGGAAGCCAGGGAATATATACTTAATTCAGGAAACAAATATCAAAAATGCTTATTAATATGCATAAAGATATGAATAAAATTATTTATGCGTGAGATAAGAGTAAGATATTAAGAAAAATGGATACTCAGAGAACCAAAAGAAATCTTTGACATTAAAATCTAATATTTAAATTAAAAGTTAAATATGAGTTAGAGGTAAAGTTGAGGAAATTTCTGAGAAATACGGCAAGTCAACAGGATATAAAATATGAGACAACATAAATGTCTCATAAGATCAATTCAGAAGGCCCAACACCTTACTAATAGTTATGAAAAGAGGACAAAGAACACAGAGAAAAGGAAATTACAAAAAACTAATGTAAGAAAACTTCCTTTAACTGAAGGATATGTATCTCCAAATTGAAAATGCCCCTCAAATGGTCAACACAATAAATGATTTTAAAAATGGGGGGCACCTGGGTAGCTCAGTTGTTAAGTATCTGTCCTTGGCTCAGGTCATGATCCCAGGGTCCTGGGATTGAGCCCCACATCAGGCCCCCTGCTCAGTGGGAAGCCTGCTTCTCCCTCTCCCACTCCCCCTGCTTGTGTTCCCTCTCTTGCTCTATCTCTCTGTCAAATAAATAAATAAAATCTTAAAAAAAACAGACCCACATTGTAAAACTAATGTGGAATGAGGAAAACCATAGGCTTACTATATACCAAGCAACGAGAATCAGGATTTTAAAGTATTGACATTGGATGACACAAAGCAATGAAATATATGTTTAAAATTCTGAGGATAAATGAATTTCAACTTAGAATTTTATACCAAGTCTAAATATGAAGAAACTGTATTGCAGAATAAAGATATTTAAGGGCTTAGGTTACTTATTTTCTATTCACCCTTTTTATGGAAATGTTTGGAGGGTGCAGAAATAAGGGATTAATTAAGATAGAAGAACACATAGGATCTAGAAAACATAGTATTCAACTCCAGGGATCAGCTAAGAAAAGGCCCTAGAGGACAGGTCTTCAGGCTTACAGTATGACCATTTTTGATCATGGCAGGATGCTGGAGGACTCCAGGAGTAAAACTGAGAATGCACAATATGAATGCCTGATATATTCCCCAAGAGAAGCCCACCATAATTTTCCATTGTAATATACATGGGACAGTAATTTCCCCTCCTGCTGTGGAGATGTCAACTTTTTAAAAAAGAACTTGCATTTTTCAGTAGCAATGAAAATGTCAAGCTAGAAGTGGAATGCAGGTATCAGACTGAAAGCCTATGGCATCTGACACCAATAATATGAATTTTAAAAGAGGTGCCTATGTTTTGAGGCAAGAGTTAGTTCAGAAGTTTTGAGAAATGGAATTGCTTTGATATGTTCTCCTCTAGTTTTAGGTAATAAGTCATTTACATTCCAGATGCAATATGGTGTAATGGTTAAGAGTGTGGAGTCTGGAGGGACGCCTGGGTGGCTCAGTCAGTTAAGCGGTTGCCTTCAGCTCAGGTCATGATCCCAGGGTCCTGGGATCGAGTCCTGCATCTAGGTCCTTGCTCAGCAGGGAGCCTGCAGCTCCCCCTGCTTGTATTCTTGCTCACTCTCTCTCGCCTATGCTCTCTCTCTCTAGCAAATAAAGAAATAAAATCTTAAAAAAAAAAAAAAAAAGAGTGTGAAGTCTGGAGGTAACCTGGCTGAGTTCAAATCCCAGTTCTAGCACTTCCTAGCTGAATGAACTTGGATGGGTTATCTGACCTCATTTTCTTCATTTGTAGAATAAAGACTTGTAATATCTACCTTACAGTTTGTTACAAAGAACAAAGTAAGTGAAGTACTTCAAACAGTACTCAGCACATAGTAAAAGTTTGATAATCATTAGTCATTTTAATATTATAATAATTGCTTTATATAAATAAAAGGTACAATCCATAAAGACATAACATTTATGAATTGTTATATATCAAATTGTTTATTAACAAATACAAAGTAAGAATTGTTAGAAATAAAAATAAATAAATAAAATAATTACAATGGATCAACACAGATGAGGTAGAATAAAATTTAAATAAAGATATGGAGAAAATGGATGAAATACTTAATAGGTAGTATAACTTAGTAGCTGATAGTTTGGCTTAGACCTGGATTTGAGTTGTAGCTCTGCCTTTACCAGCAATGTGACCTCTGAGCCTCAGTTTTTTTCTTTTTTCAAATTTTTATTTAAATTCTAGTTAGTTAACATATAATGTAATATTGGTTTCAGGAGTAGAATTTAGTGATTCATCACTTACACATAATACCCAATGCTCATCATAACAGGTGCCCTCCTTAATACCCATCACTTGTTTAGCCCATCCCCTACTCACTTTCCTTCCATCAACCCTCAGTTTGTTCTCTAACATTAAGAGTCTCTTATGATTTGTTTCCCTCTCTCTCTCTTTTTCCCCCTCCCATATGTTCATCTGTTTTGTTTCTTAAATTCCATATATGACTGAAATCATATGGTATTTGTCTTTCTCTGACTTACTTATTTCTCTTAGCATAATACACTCTAGCTCCATCCACATTGTTGCAAATGGCAAGATTTCATTCTTTTCGATGGCTGAGTAGTATTCTATTGTATATATATACCACACTTTCTTTATCCATTCATCAGTTGGTGGACATTTGGGCTCTTTCCATAATTTGACTATTGTTGATCATTCTGCTAGAAATATCAGGGTGCATGTACCTCTTCAAACTTGTATTTTTTATCCTTTGGGTAAATACCCAGTAAAGCAATTGCTGGATCATAGGGTAATTCTATTTTTAACTTTTTGTGGAACCTCCTCCATACTGTTTTCCAGAGTGGCTGCAACAGTTTGCATTCCCACCAATAGTGTAAGAGGGTTCCCCTTTCTCCACATCCTCACCAACATTTGTTGTTTCCTGACTTGTTCATTTTAGCCATTCTGACAGGTGTGAGGTGATATCTCATTGTGGTTTTGATTTGGATTTCCCTGATGCCGAGTGATGTGGGGCATTTTTTCATGTGTCTGTTGGCCATCTGGATGTCTTCTTCGGCAAAATGCCTATTCATGTCTCTGCCCATTTCTTAACTGGATTATTTGCTTTTTGGGTGTTGAGTTTGGTAAGTTCTTTATAGATTTTGGATAGTAACCCTTTATCAGATATTTGAAAATATCTTCTCCCATCCCGTAGGCTGCCTTTTAGTTTTGTTGGTTGTTTCCTTTTCTATGCAGAAGTTTTTATCTTAATGAAGTCCCAATAGTTCATTTTTGCTTTTGTTTCCCTTGCCTCTGGCAACATGTCTAGTAAGAGGTTGCTACAGCCAAGGTCAAAGAGGTTGCTGCCTGTGTTCTCTAGGACTTTGATGGATTCCTGTCTCACATTTAGGTCTTTCATCTATTTTGAATTTATTTTTGTGTATGGTGTAAGACAGTGGTCCACTTTCATTCTTCTGCATCTCACTGTCCAGTTTTCCCAACACCATCTGTTGAAGGGACTGTCTTTTTTCCATTGGATATCCTTTCCTACTTTGTTGAAGATTAGTTGACCATACAGTTGTGGGTCCATTTCTGGGTTTTCGCTTCTGTTCCCTTGATCTATGTGTCTGTTTTTATGCCAGCACCATACTGTCTTGATGACTACAGCTTTGTAATATAGCTTGAAGTCTGGAATGGTGATGCCTCCTGCTTTACTTTTCTTTTTCAGGATTGCTTTGGCTATTCAGGGTCATTTGTTCTTCCATAAAATCTTAGGATTGTTTGTTCTAGCTCTGTGAAAATTACTGATGGTATTTTGGTAAGGATTGCATTGAATATATAGATTGTTTTGGGTAGTATAGATATTTTAACAATGTTTGTTCTTCCACTCCATGAGCATGGAATGTTTTTCCATTTCTTTGTGTTTTTTTCATTTTCTTTCATATGTGTTCTGTAGTTTTTAGAGTACAGATCTTTTACCTCTTTGGTTAGATTTATTCCTAGTTATCTTGTTGTTTTTGGTGCAATTATAAATGGGATTGATTCTTTAATATTTCTTTCTGCTGCTTCATTATTAGCAAATAGAAATGCAACAGATTTCTGTATGTTGATTACACCTTGTGATTTTGCTGAATTCATGTATTAGTTCTAACAACTTTTTGGTGAAGTCTTTTGGGTTTTCTGCGTAGATACCATGTCATCTGCAAATAGTGAAATTTCGACTTCTTCCTTGCTGATTTGAATGCCTTTTATTTCTTTTTGTTGTCCGATTGCTGAGGCTAGGACTTCCAGTACTATGTTAAATAGTAATAGTGAGAGTGGACATCCCTGTCTTATTCCTGATCATAGAGGAAAAGCTCTCAGTTTTTCCCCGTTGAGGATGATATTAGCTGTTGGTCTTTGGTATACGTGAACCTCAGTATCTGTGTCAAGAATTGTAGTCGGGTCCTTGTTTATCCAAAGCCAATTGTTTTAAAACCAGCCTCACATATGACAAGGTTAGAATCATAGATGATGATATCCAGGTATAGCAGTGAGGCACATAAAGTATAAGGAGTATGGACAGCATGAATGTTTAGGAGAGGTGGAGGAACCAAAGCTATGGGTGATGGTAAAGGTATGATGGGTGATGGGAAAGGAGGGAGAACGAAGCACTGAATTTTGAAAAAATGAAGAGCATGAGTTCCTTAAATTCTCATCTGTTGTGTTTAGCTTTTCTGGTTTTCTTTTTACATTTTGTCAGACTTGGTATTTGATTTGGTTTCTTTCTAGAGCAATAAGCCCATTATGATCATGGAATTCTGGGTTGGCTGGTTTGACACATGGGGAGGTGAACATATGGTTGGTAATCCTGAGGGTAAGTGTTTTGCAGTGTTGAACCCCAAGTAGAGGTGGTCCTGAGTCATGGATCATTCACACATTTCTTTTCTAATTAATTAGCTCATTCAGCCATAACTATTCATTCAATACCTATATGTACAAGGACTTGGCTAGGTTTGAGTGTATACTGATGAATAAAAATGACCTGGTTTCTACCCCTAGGGAGCTTGTTATTTAGTAGAGTTGACAGAAAATTAAGAAGTAAATCAAGGGTTCCACATCTAACAAGTGCTTTGAAGCAAACAAACAGGTGCAGTGATAGAAAAGACAGGAACAGGCCTGCAGAGGTAAGGCAAGGTGGTCATGGAAAGGGTCTTGGAAAGGCAACATCTCTGAAGAAGGGGATGCATTTGCTAAAAGTCTTAATAATCTCTGGCAAATGCACAGGCCACTGCTCTGGTGTTGTCAACTAAGTGGTAGTCATTGTCAGGAAACAACATGCAATGATGGTTTAAAGCATGGATCCTGCAGCCAAAGAGGTCAGGATTTCAATCCTAGCTCTACTAGTCTGCATGACTAGCTGCATGATCCAAGACAGCTTTCCTTGTCTGCTAAGTCTCAGTGTCCTCATCGAAAACAGGAAGTATCATGTAACCTACCTCATAGGGTTATTGTGAGGATTAAATGCAGGAAACAACTCAGAACAGTGCCTGGCAGATGTTGACTTAATAAAAGTATTTTGCTACTAAATATATTCTGCTGTCAATATTATGAAAATAAGCTCACTTGTACCAGAAGTAAAACAAACCAATGAAAAATACCAGGTAGCTTAGAAGAGCCTCCTTGGGCTGAAACAAAACAAAACCCACCACCAACAAACAAGTTTTTTGATCGCTTTTGTGTCAGGCACTATGGTATGTTTCTTACCTATATTCTTTCATCAGTCCTATGAGGTAGTAGGAATTAGGACTTTTCATTTAACAGATAAAGAAGCAAAGGCTCTGAGAGAAAAATAGTCTGTCCAAGTTAATGCAAGTAGTAAAGAGCACAGCCAGAATTGAATCCCATATCTGACTACCTTTTAACAAAATCCCTATGATGGCCAGTGGAAAGTTGATCATACCTGTTAAAATCATGGTAAAAAAATAAGAGTTTCTCTGGCTAAAGATTGGGAACAGCTACTTGTGGACTATTGCAGTGGTTTTATATTACCCTAGAAGAGAGTAATGAGATTATACTAATTATTTCTATAATTTCAAAAAATTTAATGACCATTAGATATTTAAGTAACATAAGGGTTCTTAGGCTATTATTTAATATAACATGGAGCCAAATTATGTCCATACTCTGGGGAAAATAATTTCAAAAAGGCTCTTGGTATTGATAATACTTGGTTTCCTGGAATAGTTTGGCCAATTCCACCTATTTTCTGGTTAGAATCTCAGTGGAGGTTGAAACACAAAACCGTTAAGTTGATCATGGGGTGGGGTTGAGAATAAGATTTCATCAGAGACTTCTGTCTTAATTTTTAATTTTCCCTGTGTTCTTGTCTTTCTCCTTTACAGATGTTGAGGAAACTGTATCCAAATTTATCACATCTGAGATCTCCTTCAATGTATATATGTTTCACGGTGGAACCAACTTTGGTTTCATGAATGGGGCCACATATTTTGGGATACACAGAGCTGTTGTCACTAGCTATGGCAAGTGCTTGCTAGTATGGTCACCTCCCAGCATAAGGCGTACTGGAGCTTTACAGAGGAGGCTCCAAAAGCATGTACTGAGCATCACTGAATTCTTGACTTATAACCTATGCTGAGCATTCAGGATATTCCTATCTATTTTCCTTTCTTCTGTGATGTTCATAATGCCCCCAACAAGCTGTCACTGCAGTAGATGGGGTGCCTCAGACCTAGAGCCCTGCTTCACTCACCATATATACTGACCCCTTGACTTGAACCTTCTAAGACACACAGAATACAAATGGTGGCTGCTGGCACTGATAGACATACCTAGGCAATCCAGATTGAGGGAAGAAAAGGGTGTACCTTAGAAAGTAAAACAGAAGGATGAGTCCAGTGCTTGGCAGCCTCAGATCCCCAGGACGGGTTGTGGGGAGTGTTCCCAGAGTGGCATAACACCCCCCCACACACACACACATACACACAGCTGGGATGCACTGGTCCAGGCGGTGGGGAAGATGTATCTTCTATCTCCCTCTGGTAGCCTTGTCCCATCTCATGCCAGCAGTGCTGAAACAGGGTCAGCTGTGGATGATTGCCTGGTCAGTGACAACACTCTGGTGTCTTGCAGACTATGATGCTGTGCTGACAGAGGCTGGGGATTACACAGAAAAATATTTCAAACTTCGAAGACTCTTTAGATCTGTCTTAGGTACTCAGCAATCATTTTAATTTGAGGGATGGCTCTCCTCATGAAGTGGAAGGGTGGGGGGAGGGAAAGTTCCCCCATGGGCAAAAGCTTGGAGCCTTAAGGCCAAGCGCAACCTTAAGTTCAAATCCCAGTTTTCCTACTTAAAAGATGAGTGGCTTTGCTTGAGTGTTTCAAGCCTCTGAAGCATATTTCTTCACTGAAATATGAAGACAATGATATTCATCTCCTATAATGACTGTGAAGATTAAGTATGTTACTGTTTGTAGAGCTCTTAGTATGATGGCATGGTACCCTCACATACAATAGCAAAAGCCATCCTATTTAGTTTTATTTATTTAAATAAAGTTAATAATATACTATGTGCTAGAAAGTGAGCATTGTCAGAGGCACAAGGCAGAGTTCTTGCTCCCTGAGAGCCCTCGGTCCATATGACCAACATTACTTTATAGCTATCCATGCATACAAAACTCGTTCCAATTTAGTTATTTACAGTTTCTTATCACTCTTGGAGAAGTATACACATATGCCAGGATAGGACCCATTTCTCTTGTTGGCTCTGGGATATGAGAGTTCATGGGTAGGGATGGGGAAATTTGGAGAAGGCAGTAGTTATTTCAGGCACTTTTTGCCCCATGGCTTATTTTCATTTCAGCAGTGCCTCTGCCCCCTTTACCCAAGCTCACTGCCAAGGCTGAGTATCCTTCTGTGAAACCATCCCTTTACTTGCCACTGTGGGATGTCCTACAGTACTTAAATGAGGTGAGTACTATCTGGCACTGAAATGGGGGGTTGGCTATTGGGGGCCATGGGGGAGAAGGCTTTAGGCCACAGAGTAGAGATTCCTTCAAGTACTTTTTATTGTGAAGGGTGAAAATAAATCTTTTAGATTTTGTCCAAATTTAGAACTATTGGGTAAGAACCACAGACTTTTTCTCTGGGTAGACTGTAAAGGGGTTTGAACTCGAAGAATGAGTGGGGGTGGGGGAAAGCAGGATATTAGAGGATCCTCTTTCCCTGCTCAGATGAACCATCTGGTAGATGCTCTTAGGTGGGCCTGCATGATCCATATAGGAAAGACTGAGAGCCAGGAACCCATAAAACTGAGTTTCTGACTCTTCTTCACCATCAAATAAGCCAAATCACTGAACTTTTATATGTCCATATTCTCCCTTTAAAATTAGACTACCTGTTCTATTTTGAAGAAAAGGTGAAATTGTTTGAAAAATGTTGACTTTTGAATTCATATTAACTTCACCTCTGCTATCACTGGGTTTTAGATAAATATAGTTATTGGCACATTGTAGATGCTAACTAAATGTTTGCTTTAGTGCATAATTCTTATTTGACTTCAGTTATGTTAAAATACAATTTATTCACTTCATTAATTCTCATGATTACAACAATTGTTTCCTCTACGATGCTCCTATTATCCCCTGAGTTTCCTGGTCAGTGGAGATGATGCAAATTATCATATAGCACTTGTTTTAGTATTTCTTATCCAAAGAACTGTTGGGGACCATTAGGAGGTACAACAAAAAATGACAAGGGCCTAAGGAAGAAGGATCCCAACTTCTCATTGCCCTGGCTCATGTCTCTCTCATAGCCAGTTATATCTAATACACCAGTCAACATGGAGAACCTCCCTATAAACAGTGGGAATGGCCAGTCCTATGGATTCGTGCTTTATGAGACTTCCATCTGCTCTGGAGGTTCTCTCCATGCTAATGTTCAAGATACAGCACAGGTAGGTGTCAACAGGCTATCTATGAAGGTAAGCAGAACCTGACTGTGTTATTGGGGAGAGTAGTCACTGGTCAACTTTACTATTAGGTGGTATTTTCAAGCACCTACTATTTGTGAGGCTTTGGGAATATAAAGTCAAACCAAAGAGACTTGTTTTTGGCTTTATCACAACTTAAGCCTATGAGGTCCTCCTGTTCAGCTTCTAGCCATCTGTGATCACCAAGGCTAGTCTCTTCCTTCAAAATGCCCTGCTTCCTAAACCGGAGCCTCTCTTCTTTCTTCAGGTGGGCCTGTAAGTCTGATGCTGGCTTTTCTTTTGCAGGTGTTTTTGAATGAGATAAGTATAGGACTTCTGGATGATCATACTAAGAAGTTGAATATTCCTAAAATCAAGGTATGTGATTCAAGAGCCTGGGTGCTTCCCTAGACCTCTGACTCAAATGCAAGCATAGATAGCCTGGTCCTGAGATAGACTACCTCCTTTCTCTGTCACTGCCCTTTGGTATTACTTCTCACTTGGGGTTCCATCAACAAGTACTTAGGGCTATAAGCGTAACTGCATCTCCCAGGGCCAGGCGTAGTAGAGTTGCAAAATACATGTTTCAGTGTAAATGGAACTTTAGGACCCATTAGGCCCTGAGTCAAACATCAGCCCCTGGTTGGGTCTCTGATCAAAGGCACACAGCTGAGTCTCTCTGCCTTTCCTAAGGCAGACCAGCAAATGAAAGGGAAGATTGAGTTTGGAACAGGAACACAAAGTGTCCTTTCGAGAGAGGAGGACTGCTGCACTCTGGAGCCCCCTTTTCTCCCATTTGGTTGTCTTTCATTTGGGACTCAAAGAATGGGTTCTAGTGTAAAAACTCTGCGAGGCCATGTAGTCTCTGTGAACTGGTCTATCCCAAGCAGGAATGCCAACTTCCTTCTTTTCTTGTTTTTTAAGGAATGTCAACTTCTAAGGATCCTGGTAGAGAATCAAGGACGAGTCAATTTTTCATGGAAAATTCAAGATCAGCGGAAAGGTAGGAAATAGGCTGTAATCTCTCTTTGTGGTTACTTGGATCCTAAGATTGGGGCAATGTGCAGTTGGGAGGAGAAAATGAGCCCCTTGAGCAGTGGGATACCTAGGTCCCAGGACCAAAGACTACCTCTCCTTTGTCCTGCCTTCTTCAGGTCTCCTGGGTAGAAAAGCAGAACAGTTAGATTGGGCCCTGGCCTATTGTAGAGCAGGGTCCAGTCTCCTACTGGGAATTTCGGAGAAAGTTCTGATACAAAGTGGGAAGCTTTCTTGGTAATATGGAACCATACAACAGGAAACTTTTGGTCATAGGTCAGACAAGTGTTTGCCCTCCTGGCTGATTCCTTGTCACAGGCATATACAGTCAGCATTTCTTTATCCCAGACACTGGAGAATGTCCAGTCCCTGTCCATATTTTTTCCTACCCTCACCTGCAGGATTAACTGGATCAGTTACCATCAATAACGTTCCCCTGAAAGGTTTTGTTATCTATTCTCTGGAAATGACAATGAGCTTCTTTGAAAGGTATGTTCCTCCTTACACCCATTAAACACTCGGAAGGATCAGGGGGTTTACAGATGTCAAACTCTTCACTTTGCAGATGAAAAGCTAAGATTTGGAGAACTGAAATGATTTACCCAAGATTATAGAGTGCTTTGGGGTCAGGACTAGAACCCCAGAACAAGTCTCCTGACTCCTGATTTTAATGCTTCTAGTCTAATATATCTCCCTGGATCAGAATCCTAATCCTTGGGTGGGGAAATCTAGGTGTTGGCACTAGAGTGGAGAAGGGGCCTTTTCTCTTCTTCAAGGCTTTGTTCTTCCTCCAGGCTCCGCTTTGCCACTTGGAGGCCTGTCCCAGAGAGCTATTTGGGCCCTGCCTTCTACCTTGGTACCTTGAAGGTTGACTCTTCACCCAAGGACACCTTCCTGAGTCTACTGGTAGGTGAGCTGCCCTCATCTGTTCTGGTGTCCCAACCACTTCTTCTTTTTTTTTTCTTCTTTAAATTTTTTATTGTTATGTTAATCATCATAAATTACATCATTAGTTTTTGATGTAGTGTTCCATGATTCATTGTTTGTGTATAACACCCAGTACTCCACGCAGAACGTGCCCTCTTTAATACCCATCATCAGGCTAACCCATCCCCCACCCCCCTCCCCTCTAGAACCCTCAGTTTGTTTTTCAGAGTCCAACCACTTCTTCTTTTCAGAAGAGTTTTAAAGCAAAGCCATAGTGTTCCTGGCAGGAGTGTTTCCCCATTTTCCTTGTTTTTCTCTTCCTCATTTCTAATAAGATTTCCAACATTTCTCAGTCTTCCTAATGTATCATTATTTTAAAAATAATAAATCAAAACACAATGGAAAACCTGAAATAAGATAGAGAGAGCAAATGATGGAGTTGCTCTTTTCAACACACCCTCCATTCCAATTCCTTTTACTTTTCAGAACTAAACATTACCACACTACCCGTGTCACGCTCAGTTATAGACAGACTACACCAAATGGGGTTGCCTCACAAGTCATTTATTTATACAAACAAGGAGATTGTGGGGAATAATTTTCAAAGTTCTGTCTCCCTGAAGATGGGAAAGCAGAGCCTTTTATTAGGGCTTGGGATGAATATTTAGAAGGGGATTTTAATGTCATCATGAGGCTGAGGTCACTTCTGGCACTTTCTGGTTCATCTGCACAGGTGTGGCCCTCAAATGTTTCTTTTTCTAGTCTAGCAGTCCATTAGTTCCTTTCTAAAAGGTAAAATCAACAGCTAGGCAGAAGCCTCTAGGAGTTTAGTTCCTAAAAGATAACACTGACAGGCAGAAGCTTCTACTAGAAATTTCCTGAATTCAGGGGGTTAAGCTGGTGACACCAACAGTTTGTGGTATTTCATATATAACTTTGCCTAAACATATACACAATTACTTTTTACACTAATGGGTTCATTCCCTAAATTATATTCTGCAACTTGCTTTTTAAAAATACTATACCTTGTAGAGCTTTTTATATATAAACACACATAGTGACATACATGCACATAATAAATGCACAGTTCAATAAATTATCACAAAGTGAACACCATGTACCTCTTTTGAGATGAAAAAAATAAAATATTGTCAGCACCCCTCCCAATCACTGTCTCTCCTTGTTCCTAAAAGTGAACCATTATCTTGACTTCTAACACTCCAATTCAGTGCTTCCCCTTTTACTTCATGTAAATTGAATTGTATAGCATCTTTTTTGTGTGGCTTCTTTTTTGCTAAGATTCAACCATTAAGTGATATTGTGGTGATTTATTCATTTTCAGTATTGTATGGGTTTCCATTTCATAAAACACCATACTTTATTTAACCATCCTACTGTTGATAGACATTTGTATTATTTCCAGTGTTTGGCTATTGTAAATATTAAGACTTCTTTTGTGATTATGTTTGTGACTGAGACATCTTTGTCATGTTTTGGTACCATGTTTTAAGACCCCCATAAATGATTTGGGAAGCAGAGTCTGTGTAAGCCTGTTATTACTTCTTACATGTTTGGTAGATTTCACTAGTGAAGCCATTTAGGGTTGACTTTTTCTTTGTGGGAAAGTTTGTAAGTGTGGATTAAATTCCTTCAAGATTAAAGTATAGTCAGACTTTGTTTCTTTAAAAGTTAATTTTAGGGGCGCCTGGGTGGCTCAGTCAGTTAAGAGTCTGCCTTCGGCTCAGGTCATGTTCCCAGGGTCCTGCGATCGAGCCCTGCATTGGGCTCCCCACTCAGCGGGGAGTCAGCTTCTCTCTCTCCCTCTGCCCCTCCCCTGATTCGTGCTCTCTCTCTCTGTCTCTCAAATAAATAAATAAAATCTTTAAAAAAAAGAGGTTAGTTTTAATAAAATTTATTTTTCCGGGAATTTTTCCATTTCCTTTTAATTTTCAATGTGTTATGTTTAAGTTGTTCATTTTTAATGTTTAAATCATCTGTAGTATTGTCTCATTTTGTCTTGATAAGTTTCATCAGAACATTACCAAATTATTAATCTTTCAAAGAATCAATGGTTGGCTGTGACTTTTACCATATTATGTAGTTTTTTTCTGTTTCATTTCTGCCATTTTCTTTATTATTATTATTCTTATTATTTTGTTCTTTTGTGAAATCCTGCACTATCTTTGCAAATTTTGTATAGATCTGAAACTATTTTAAAATAAAAATATATTAAACATTTTAGTATGTTTCTAGTACATATTATTTTAATTGTTCAACTTTTTTTAAAAAGATTTTGTTTATTTATTTGAGAGAGAGAGATACAGCACAAGTCAGGAGGAGTGTCAGAGGAGAGGGAGAGGGAGAAGCAGACTCTGCTGATCAGGGAGCCCAACACAGGGCTCAATTCCAGGACCCCGAGATCATGACCTGAGCTGAAGGCAGATGCTTAACTGAATGAGCCACCCAGGTGCCCCACAACTTTTAAATACTAATCATTTCCCCTATCACGTAGTCCTATAATTTTGCATTTTAAAGTTTTTTATTCAAGTATAATTAACATTGTGTTATATTAGTTGTACAATTAGTTATATTAGGTGTACAATATAGTAATTCAGCAATTGTATACATTTCTTGGTGCTCATCAATATGAGTACTCACAATCTCTTTTATCTATTTCACCCATCCCTCTACCCACTTCCCCTCTGTCAACCACTAGTTTGTTCTCTGTATGTAAGAGTCTGTTTTTTCACTTGTCTTTTTTCATTTGTTCATTTGTTTTGTTTTGTTTCTTAAATTCCACATATGAGTGAAATCATATGGTATTTGTCTTTCTCTGTCTGACTTATTTCACGTAGCACTGAGGTCCTCTAGGTCCATCCATATTGCAAATGGCAAGATTTCATTCTTTTTTGTGGTTGAGTAATATTCTATTGTGTGTGTATACACACACACACACACACACACACACCACATCTTCTTTATCCATTCATCTCTCCATGGACACTTGGGTTGCTTCCATATTTACTAATATAAATAATGCTGTAATAAACATAGAGGTACACATATCTTTTTTTAATCTATTTATTGTTTTTACATTTTTAAAGTTTTATTGTTATCTTAATCACCATACATTACATCATTAGTTTTTGATGTAGTGTTCCATGATTGTTTGTGTATAACACCCAGTGCTCCATTCAATACCTGCCCTCCTTAATACCCATCACCAAACTAACACATCCCCTCACCCCCCTCCCCTCTAGAACCCTCAGTTTGTTTCTCAGAGTCCATCGTCTCTCATGGTTCGTCTCCCCCTCTGATTCCCCTGCTTCATTTTTTCCTTCCTGCTATCTTTTTCTTTTCTTTTCTTTTTTTAACATATAATGCATTATTTGTTTCAGAGGTACATATATCTTTTTCAATGAATGTTTTTGTTTTCTTTGGGTATATACCCAGTAGTGGAATTATTGCATCATATGGTAATCCTATTTTAAATTTTTGAGGAACCTCCATACTGTTTTCCACAGTAGCTGTGCCAGTTTGCATTCCCACCAACAGCGCACGAGGGTTCCATTTTCTCCACATCCTTGCCAACACTTGCTATATCATGTTTGTTCGTTTGTTTGTTTATTTGATACTAGCCACTCTGAAGGTATATTTTGTTTATTCTACTTTTTATCTTAGGAGTTATCTTCTTTCTTTTTGTAATTTCTTGAGATGGGTGCTTAGATAACTGACTTTTAGTCTTTATTCTTTTTAACATATGAATTTAGATGATTTTTCATTTAAGTATGAATTTGGTTGTACCCCATAAATTTAAAACATTTATTGAGGTGAAATTTACATTAACATAAAATTAATCATTTTAAAGTGAACAATCCAGAGGCATTTGGTGCATTTACAATGAATGCAATTCTTCCTTATATCTAGTTCCAAAACAGTTTTATAACTCTAACAGGAAACCCTGTACCCATTAAGCACTTACTTCCCATCTTCCCTTCCCCTCAGTGCCTGACAAACAATACTTTTCTTCCTGTGTCAATGGAATTGCCTATTCTGGATATATACTCCATGTTTTTATATGTTTTATTTTCATCACCAATCAATTCAAATATGTTACAAATTTCCTCATGATTTTCGCTTTGGCCTCTGCGTTATTTAGAAGTGTACGTGTTTCTTATTTTCCAAATATTTGGATACTTTATAGTAATTTTTTTGTTATCAGTTTCTTGTTTGACTGCACTGTGGTCTGAGAACTTTAAAATATAGCACTCGTTTAGTCCAATATAGGATCAAAGTTATAAAGATTATTATGTATACTTGAAAGAATAGGTATATTCTGCATATATTAGATCAATGTTCTATATATGTCAATGAGTTCAACTTTGTTAATTACCTTATTTTGAATGTTTTATGTCTTTATTGATTCCTGTTTGCTTTATCTATTAGCTATTGAAACATTGTTTGAAAATTTTCCATTATGGTTTTAAATCTTATTTCTCCTGTTATTGCATCAATTTTGCTTATATATTCTGAATCTATACTTTAGCTTTTCTATATATCATTATCACTCAGGGTAGATTAAGAATTTTATTATCAGGAGATATTCCTCTTTATCTCTAATAGTGCTTCTTGCCTTAATGTCAAATTTTTCTGATATTTATAGAACTATATAACTTCCTTTCGCTTAAGGTTTATCTATTTTATCTTTTTCTGTTATTCTTTTATTTTTACAATTCCTTTATATTTCAGAAGGTTTTCTTATAAATATCATACAACTGCTTTATTTAATGTCCAGCAATCTTTGTTTTTTAATTGGAGCATTTCAGAGGCTCCAATTTTATGTTAGAACCATTTTGTTATATCTCCTTTTGTCTCTTCCTGTCTTGTCTGTTTCTCATTCTTCTTTTCTCTGAGCTTAATTTTGAAAACTTTCTTTCCTATTATTCAGTTTACTAATTCTATATTTAGCTATATCTCTATTTAGTTTATCTAGTCTGCTATTCAAAACATCTGTTAAATTATTAATTTTAATTATTACATTTTTAATTTTAGAGTTTTCATTCTATAACTTTAGACTTTTTTATAGTTTCCATTTCTCTGTCAAAATTTTAGCTCTTGTCTTTGATCCCTATGAGCATGCTAATTTAATAGGCAATTCTTTTAAAGCCTGAGACTTATAAATCCATTATCTGCATCACCTGTGCATCTATTTTTATTGTCTGTTGTTCCTTGTAGTTTTTTTTATTATATTGTCTTCCCCACCCCTATCTGCTTGATTTTTTTGAGTTCCAAGAATTATATATGAAAAACGCTAGAAATAACTTAAAGCCTAAGATGATGTCAGAGAATTTACATCCATCTCTGGAGTTAAGTGCACTAGTAATCACCTTACTACAATTAAGAGGACGGAAATGATTTGAATCAAGGCTTCTATACAATGGCCAGACTAGTTCTAGTTCACTCTTCTCCTTGGGTATAGGCCCTCAGGATCACAGCCCAGAATGTAAATTATTTAATAAGGTTCCTTGGTATTCAATTTTTGTTCCCTAAGCTTGTGAGGCTATAAAATGTTCTGCTCAGCTTCTCAGCCATCTCTTCCTGAATAAGCAGACTCCTCTATTGGAAAAACTGTCTCAGTGTCTTCTTGTCTCTCAGTTTTCTTTGCCTAGATCTTGGTCCTGTCACTCATCATTGTATTGCAAGCAGATTTTTAAAAAAGAATGTATAGCTTTTATAATGGTTCTTAGCATTAGCATTCGTCTTTATTACCTAATACTTATCTCTGGAAACAGAATAACTGCTTTTTAAAAAACCATAGCATTATATATCATGGGTCAGGAACAGTAGCATTAGCCTTAAAGGTTTGGTTCATGTTTTTCTCTGTCATCCCTAGACCAGCTACAGCTTAGTAGAGTTTCTAGAACATCCCATTCTAAACTCACTGCCACTTTCAGTGCCACAAAGCATTGAGTCTTGCTCTCACTCCCAAAAGTGCCTTAGGTTTTACCTTGCCAGTGTGAATCTGTTCCTATGTCTTAAGACTCCATTCCTTCCAGACCTGGAATTCTGGATTTGCATTCATCAATGGACGTAACCTTGGGCGATATTCAATTATTGGACCTCAGGAAACACTTTACCTTCCTGGTGCTTGGCTTCATCCAGAAGACAATGAGGTGAGTCACCCCTACCACTGCTTTTATGTTTCATAAACGTTGAGATCTGCCTTCATCCCCAGAATGCAATTCAGGGTCGTTCTCATCCTATACTGAATAGGCTTACACTTTCTTACTGTCAACCGTTTTTTTCTCCCTAGATCATCCTGTTTGAGAAAAGGAAGAGTGGTTCATACATACAAACTACAAATGAACCCATGCTGTAAGACTGTGTTATAATATATTTCTAGGATTGTTAGAGTTCATCTACAAGCATTTTTTTTAGTAGGAAGATTTATGTTGAGAATATCAGTGTTGCCTACAATAGCAAAAAATGTAAAAATAACCTAAAAAATAAAAAAGGAAATTGTTATGAATATTATAGTATATCCACATGATGTCTATTTTTAGGCTTTAAGAAGTCTTCAAAATATTTAATGACTGATTTACCTAGTTAAATACTAACCCTTAGCATATTCTTATTCTCTAATCAAATGTGCCTTTAGGCAGATATGAATAAAATAATAACAAATTTTATTTCTGATTCTTCATATTCAGTTGGAAGAGAGAAAAGAGTCTCTGGCTTAAGAGAGAGTAAGGATTACTGCTCTCTCTATGCCAGAGAAAGTACCGTATATGCTGATTGGCAAATTCCTGGTGTGTGTGTGTGTGTGTGTGTGTGTGTGTAAGAGGGAGGGAATACAAGGTGCCATGAACAATGTCTTCAGACATTTCCCTACAGTCTGTGTGTCTCCAGGGTGACCTTATGGGTCATATCCAATCAGAGAAGGTATAGCAATTTGGTTGCTTGTTTCTGACAGGTATGACAGCAAAGCCTGGCATGCAGCACCCTGTGTCTTACTATTCCTCAGCTATCTGGATATAGTCAAGGCTCTTCTTACTGATAGTGGACAAATATTAGTCAAACGAACTTCCTCAAATGACACCATTGGAAATGAATCACATTTTTATAATCAAATTATATCACATGACCTAAATTTGAACCATTGCACTATAACAATATCTTATCACCTAGTTAGATATGGTGCCTAGGAGCTTCAACAAATTTAGCAAATAATCTGATGTCGAAAGGGAAGAAGGAAACTTCCTGCTTGGGATGAGGACTAAGGAGTCAGATGATCTTTTCTCCCACTAGTCTGAATGTTTGGCTCACTGAAGGAGAATTTTATCATGCACCCACACAATTTCTACATAAAACTTTATTCTCTGGGGCTATAACTCAAACCCATAAAATCTAGGGATAAACTATAGATCAAGGGAAAAAAACAGAAATAATAATCCTGAAGATCATATGTATGTATTATATTTCAGGTAATATATATGTTATTTTTAATCTTAGCAACCATGCAGCTTTTCCACTTTGTAGATAGAGAAACCAAGGTTCAAAGAGGTGTTTGAATACGTCTCTCTGATTTATATCTCTTCTTGTTATTATACCTTAGCTCCATACCTGTGTCATTTTTTTATGAATGCAAATATGAATGCAACAATACTATCCAGAAGATGTAATGTTGTTTTCAGTGTGCTTAGAGAAAAGGGCTCACAGCTTAAAACTCTTTACACAACAACACTGTCCTTCAAGAAAAACAAAGCAAAAAGAAAACAAAATATAGACCTTACAGACAAACAAGGGCCAAAAGATTTTATATCATCAAAAGATCCATGTGCTAAAGGGAATTCTGAGGCAGCCTTTCTTAACTGGGGTTCCATAACACCTTACAGAAAATGTTTTCAGTGATTAGTTTCTTATTGTAATATTATAGATGCATACTAGGAAAGTTATTTCATTACAGACCATGGATGCCTTAGGGCATTACAGCTTAAGTCTCTCAGTAAACCTCAGTGGAGAAAAGATATCCTAAAGAACATATGTCAGCAGAAAGAAAATGACCCCAGTAGTAAGATCTGAGATTCAGGAAAAAATGCAAAACAAAGGAAGGATGTTGAAAAATATGCAAATACATGTGAACAAACATTATTTCAATAAAAAATATATCAATGTCTAATTTGAGGGTAAAATCTGTATAAAATTCTAAGACTAGGAGAAAATATCTATAGAAAGGGCTGTGATAGCAAAAAAAAAAAAAAGGTGGGATCTAAGGTTTCTGTAATGCTCAGATATTAACTTTAGACTTTGTTGAATATGTATGTTAATAAATTTAGCTTAACTGTTTAATGTATATAATGCTTCTAACTTTCAAAAAAAAAAGGGGGACAAATAGAATGAGGGGGAAAAAAGGCAACTAAAAAACTTAACCAGTAAAAGGTAAAAGGGAATAGACAATAAAGTAAAAAATAAGTACAAGTAGAAAACACATATTAAGATAGTAGAAATAAATAAAAATATATTAGAAACCACAGTTAATTTTGTAAATGTACTAAACCCTCAGATTAAAAGATAGAAGTTGTCAGACGCAATAAAAAATGAAATACATAGGTTTTACAAGAGATACACCTTTAACATAGTACACAACATGATAGAAAGTTAAGATAAAAAACATACCGTGCAGGACACCTGGGTGGCTCAGTCAGTTAAGCGTCTGCCTTCGGCTTAGGTCATGATCCCAGGATCTTGGGATCGAGTTCCCCATCAGGCTCCCTACTCAGCAGGGAGTCTGCTTCTCCCTCTGCCTGCCCAACCCCCTGCTTGTGCTCTCTCTGTCTCTCTTACTTGCTCTTACTCTCGCTCTCTCTCTCTCTGGCAAATAAATAATAAATTTTTTTTAAAAAAAAAAATACCATGCATGAATTAGCAGAAAGAAAAATTAAAATGATCCCATTTTCAACTACATCAAAAAGAATAAAATACCAAGAATAAATTTAACTAAGGAAGTGAAAAACCTACACTTTGAAAACTATAAGACATTGATGAAAGAAATTAAAGACAACACAAGTAAATGGAAAGATATACCATGCTCATGAATTGGAAGAAGTAATGTTGTCAGGTATCCATACTACCCAAAGCAATCTACAAATTCAATGTAATCAAAATACCAATAGCGTTTTTCACAGAACTAGAACAAAGAATCCTAAAATTTGTATGGAACCACAAAAGACCTCAACTAGCTGAAGCAATTTTGAGAAAGAAGAACAAAGAGAGAGATATCACAATCCAAGATTTCAAACTATATTACAAAGCTATAGTAATCCAGTATGGAACTGGTACAAAAATAGACACATAGATCAATAGAACAAAATAGAGGGCCCAGAGATAAACTCATGCCTATACGGTCAATTAGTTTACAACAAAGGTAACAAGAGCATACAATGGGGAAAAAACAGTCTCTCTAATAAAGGTGTTGGAAACATTGGACAACTACAAGCAAAAGAATGAAACTGGACCACTTTCTTATATATATATAAGTAAACTTGAAATGGATTGACAACCTGAATGTCAGACCTGAAATCATAAAACTCCTAAAAGAAAACATAGGTTGTAAAATCTTGGAAATTAGCCTTAGCAATATTTTTCTAGATATGTCTCCCTAGGTGGGGGAAATAAAAGCAAACATAAACAACTAGGACTATACCAAACTAAAAACTTTTGCACAACAGAGGAAACCACCAAAAATTGAAAAAGCAACCTACTGAATGGGAGAAGGTATTTGCAAATGATACAGCTAATAAAGGAGTTAATTTCCAAGATATATAAAGAACTCATACAACTTAACACCAAAAAAACAAATGACCTGATTTAAAAATGGGCAGAAGACCATGAATAGACGTTTTTCCAAAGAAGACATACAGATGGTCAACAGACACATGAAAAGATGCTCAATGTCACTAATCACAAGGGAAATGCAAATCAAAACCACAATGAGATGTTACTTTACACCAGTCAGAATGGTTAGTATCAAAAAAAAAGAAATAACAAGTGTCAGCAAAGATATGGAGAAAAGGGGACACTTATGCCTTGTTGGTGGGAAGGTAAATTTCTTGCAGCCCCTATGGGAATCAGTATGGAGGCTTCTTAAAAAATGTAAAATAGAAATACCGTATGATCTAGTATTTTCACTACTTGGTATTTACCTGAAGAAAACAAAAACACTAATTCAAAAAAATATGTGCACCTTTGTGTTTATTGCAGCATTACTTATGATAGCCAAGATATAGAAGCAGTTCAAATATCCATGGAGAGATGAATGGATAAAGAAGTTCGGATATCTATATCTATATCTATATCTATATCTATATATATATATATCACACATAGAAAAAGTATCTATATATTGAAGTATTACTCAGCCATAAAAAGATTGAAATCTTGCCATTCATGACAACATGGATAGACCTAGAGGGTATTATGCTAAGTGGAATAAGTCAAAGAAAGACTAATACTGTATGATTTTTCACTTATATGTGGAATCTAAAAAAACAAATGCACAAACAGAAACAGACTCATAAATACAGAGAACAAACTGATTGTTGCCAGAGGGGAGGGGGGTGAGAGTATAGGGTGAGATAGGTAAAGGGGATTAAGAGGTACAAACTTGGGGCTCCTAGGTGGCTCAGATGGTTAAGCATCTGCCTTCGGCTCAGGTCATGATCGGATCGAGCCCCACATTAGGCTCCTGGCTCAGCGGGGAGCCTGCTTTTCCCTCTCCCTCTGCCTCTCCCCCTGCTCATTCTCTCTCTCTCTTTCTGTATCTCTGTGTCTCAAATGAATAAATAAAATATTTTAAAAAAAGGAGGTACAAACTTCCAGTTACAAAATAAATCATAGGGATGAAATTACAGCATAGGGAATATAGTCAATAATATTGCAATAACTTTGTATGGTGATGGATGGTAGCTACATTTATTGTAGTGAGCATTTTGTAATGTATATAATTGTTAAATCACTGTGTTGTCCATCTGAAACTAATATAAAATATGTCAATTATACCTCAATTAAAAATATAAATATATACATACCATGCAAATTCTTATAAAAAAAGCTGGAGTGACCATATTAATATCAGGCAAGTAGACTGAATGATAATAGGTGTTACTAGATATAGAGAATTACTGATAGTGATAAAAGATTCAACTCATGAAAAGATATAACTCTAGAGTTGTATGTTCCTAAACATTTAGCCTCAATATATAAAGCAAATATTTCTACTTCCATATATAGAAAAAGACAAATAGAAGTACTTTACATTTGAGAAAAGTTTTTGAAATTGAGATATGTTTCATATATGAGAAAATCCACCCTTTTAA